GGGACTCCCGGGCTGGGACGGAAGGGGAGGGCTGCTCTCACTCGCCGCCCTCCCTCGGCGCCGCCTCAGCCCCAGTGTGTGTTTCTGGGGGTGGGAAAGAAACCAGGCCCTCACCGACGGGAGATGGAGAACCACGGCGGGGAGCTCCGTGCGGGGGGTGTTGCCACACCTGGGGGCTAATCCAGTAGCCGCTTCTCAGCTTCCTCTTGCCAACGTTTGGGGGAGAGAAAGAGAGAAAGATCTCAGGAAATGTAGACCAGGCAACCTCTGAGCATATACAGAATGCCTTTGCTTCAAGAGAGAATCCAGAGGGAGAAGCGATGCCAGGACTGGGGTGTTCTTTTGTTATTTGGAGCTCTACCGGCTAGTGATGCCTCAGATAGGACTAGTGGATTTCCTGCAGAAGACTGGCTGTAAAACATCTCCAGAGAGAGAGAACTGATGCTACAAGGGCCAAAGAGGAGGGACCAATAACTTTCTGAATCTCATCAATACCTTGTGACTACAGTTGTTCCCAAACCTAGGTGCTAGGCTGCTGGCAAGGATACAACAGGGTGCACATATTATAAGAGCTGCATTGATCCCCTTATCATGTCTGGGTTGTTTAATGGACTAGCACTGACCTTAAAAGTCGCAAGAGCGTGAACATACCAACTGCATAAGAAGCCCTACTCTTACTCATCTGGTAGAAACCAGAGACAAGGCCTTCTTAGGGGTGGCCCCATGACTGTGGAACACACTGGAAGATTCCCATCTCCTCTTTTGGGGTGTGCTCTGAAGAACTTCCCGTTTGTAGAACTACAGTATTAAAACTACTATACCTCTCTCTCTCTCTGTGTTATCGGATCCCTTTATTACGCCAGCGCACTGTTTATTTTATTGGATTTTCCCCCCAATAACTGTTTATACGATTTTATCTATATTGTAACCACCTTCTGAAGGTTACTGACTTTGAAAAGGAAGGGATAATCACTTAGATAGGAGGATGGCCCTATATCATAGAATAGAGAAGTTGGAAGGAGCCTACAAGGCCATCAAGTCCAGCCCCCTGCTCGATGCAGAAATACAAATCAAAGGATATCTGCCAGGTGGTTGTCTAAGTTTCTCTTGATTGCGTCCAGTGTTGGAGCACTCACTACTTCCCAACGCAATTGGTTCCATTCTCTGGCATAGTTAAGTGATGAAGGCTATAGTCCTTGTCTAAGCTTACCTTCAGGTAGGTCTCATCAAACTCAACAAGGCTTACTTCTGAGATGATTTGTGTATGCTTGGAGTGCAATAGCTTACTACTGAAACAAAACCAAAAACATTGTAGTTCCTGTAAGACTAACAAACCCATTTCAGTGTTAGCTTTCCTGGATACAGTTTGCTTCTGCAACATTCATGACCCTGAAAATGTGAAAGGTTACACTGAAATATATTTATTAATCCTAAAAGTGCCACAATATTTTTGGTTTTATATTGTTTTATTGCTGGAACAAGGTAACAGGTCTACTTCTCTAAAACCTGAGGCTGCAATCCTTAACATAGGAGGGGATAAGCCTCATTGCTTGCTAACTTCTCAATAGATATGTTTGTCAGATTGTCCTGTAGGGCTATGATTTTGTGCATTGCTTGCCTGAGAATAAGCCCTTTTGCATGCAATGGAAATTTCTGGTTGCTCCTACAAAGAACCACAGTACTTTGCAAATTACTGTATGATTAAATAAGTCTCTAGTCCAAATCTCATCCTGCTACTAAGGGATGGCCTTATGTGAAGGATCTTGTATTCTGGGCAAACGGGCAGCACAGAGTAGTGGTTAGAATGCTAAACTTGGGTCACTGAGATCCAGATTCAAGTCTTTGTTCCATCATAAAACTGACCAGCTAACCCTGGGCTGGTAAACTGCTCAGCATAGCCTATCTCATAGGGTTGTTGTGAGGCCTTAAACTTCAGACTGGCTTCTTTCTGCTCTGCATCTCTTCATGTTGTTTTACTGTTGGTGTTTTTTACATCTTTTAATTTAAAACCTTCCATGAACGCTTGTGCTGAATGACCACCGAAGAATTGATGCTTTTGAACTGTGGTGCTGGAGGAGACTCTCAAGAGCCCCCTAGACTGCAAAGAGAACAAACCTATCTATTGTGAAGGAAATCAACCCTGAGTGCTCATTGGAAAGACAGATCCTGAAACTGAAGCTCCAATACTTTGGCCACCTCGTGAGAAGAGAAGACTTCCTGGAAAAGACCCTGATGTTGGGAAAGTGTGAAGGCAAGAGGAGAAGGGGACGACAGAGGATGAGATGGTTGGACCGTGTCATTGAAGCTACCAACATGAATTTGACCCAACTCTGGGAGGCAGTGGAAGACAGGAGGGCCTGGCGTGCTCTGGTCCATGGGATCACGAAGAGTCGGGCATGACTTAACGACTAAACAACAACAACATAGGCTCCAACTGAAAGCTTTTGTTGTTCTCTGTATTGACTTCAACTATGCTCTGTTTGGATTTTGGACCTGCATCCTCTTGATCTTCCACTAAATGGACAGACGCACCTATATAGCACCACAGGATTGTGCTACTTGTGCAAGCATAGTAGCTATATAAGCAGAGGGGGCGTGTAACAACAAAGAGCACAGGGATATGGAAATGTGCCACCTGATCATAGTGTTCCCTACTCGGGAAAGAGCTCCTGTATTTCTTTTTCAATTGAGACAATTTCTGAATCTGAAATGAAATGAAAACTGTGAAATTTAATCATTTGCCCTGTGTCTATGTGTGCACGTGTGCATGGTTTTCACTGTATATAATTTTTTTCTTCAATTAGCAATGAATAAATGGCTGCCTTAACTGCTTTCTTTGTTGTATTAGGGGATGGGGACACCAGACAGGGAGGGACAGTCCGGCAGAAGTGGGGGTTTTTTGGCAGTGTCCTGCTGAGGACATTACTCGGGAAAGAGCTCCTGTATTTCTTTTTCAATTGAGACAATTTCTGAATCTGAAATGAAATGAAAACTGTGAAATTTAATCATTTGCCATGTGTCTATGTGTGCATGGTTTTCACTGTATATAATTTTTTTCTTCAATTAGCAATGAATAAATGGCTGCCTTAACTGCTTTCTTTGTTGTATTAGGGGATGGGGACACCAGACAGGGAGGGACAGTCCGGCAGAAGTGGGGGTTTTTTGGCAGTGTCCTGCTGAGGACATTGTTGCGGGTTAGTAACATCCGCAACAGCTGGCAGCTGGGGAAGCAGTAGCATTGGCGATGGTAACCTGTTGTCACCCTGCAAGAAAAGCCTCGAGTATTCCTCAGTCCAAGACAGAGCAAAGTCCTCCTGAGAATGACAGTACCAGCGAGGGGTCAGTACCACTGAATTTGGGTCCGAGGCCCCTTGATATCTGAGGTTGGGGAGGGTGTGTGCCTTTGCTGGCTCGCCTCAGGCAGCAAAATCTCTAGGGCCGACCCGAGAGAGCGTGGAAAGGCAGCGAGGCGCCCCTCCTTGGACAGCTGGCATCGCCTCCGAGCCACAAAGGGCACAAAGCCAGAGGGAGCCCCGCTCCCCTTTTGTGACTCCTTTCCTCGGAGAAAAGAGGGCGCCTTTGTCCCGCGCCGACTAGCAAAGCCGGGGAAGGGAAGGGAAGGGGGGGGAAGGAGAGAAAAGCCTCACCCGGCGAGCTGGCCCACAGGCTCCGCGTTACCCATCTCCAGCGGCGCATCCTGGGACTCCCCCTGCCTTTTCCGGAAAGTCCGGGGCTTCGGCCGGCCCGCCCGAGGCCGCGCAGCGGTGCCGCTCCCGGGCTTTGTCCTCCCGACGGTCCTCCTTAAAGGGGCCGCGACGCATTCCAGATGGCGCGGCGCGCTCGGCGCGGGAGCGTACTACACAGGATTATGGTGGTAAATCCCAGCGCTGAAGGGGATACTTTTTAGACTCTCGCTCTTGACCCAGGCAGCGTCCTTCTGTCTGGTTAGAAATAATCTGCCAGGCCACCCTGGTCCGCTGAGGTTCGACGTTGTGGCTTCAGCACATGCGGTATATTTGCAAATATATATATATATTTACTACATCTAACGGACCTCTTAATCAAGCACATTGACTGGGGAATTTGGGAGTTGTAGCCCAGAAGACCTCCGAGTTCTGCTTGTGCAAAATCGCTCTCTGCCAGGAAGAGTCCAGAAGTACTCCCAACTAATGCATTCATTATCCTTCAGTAATGCCCCTTGCCTTCAGTAGGGCTTGTGATGTGGCTACAAGTCGCTTCCAAGGAACGGAGGAGACCTTACACGGCAGGTGGGATGTTCGAGGAACGGTCTACCGTTACCCTGTAAGTTTCTACAGCTATGCGTGGTTTTGAAAGCAGCTCTTTTAATCTGTGCTGCCTGAGGCATTATGGAAGTTGTAGTAAAAAAAAAAGCAAATCTCCACATCTCTGCTTCTAAGTAACGCTGAGTAGAAAATTGGGCTGGGAAGTGAGTTGTGTATTCATTGGGTAAGCAGGGGTGAGGGTGATAGCAGTAGGAAAAAGTAACTTTGGGAGACTACATCTCCCTCTGGCCATGCTGGTTACGGCTTTCTGCAAGGTGTAGCCTGAGTAATTAAACTGTAAACTTCCCCAAGAATGCTATGGGGAAGTACATAAGCAGCACACTTTGCTTTCTGGTAGCTGTAGTCTGAAAAAGTAACTTTTCAATGCCTGAATGCACATGTTCATTATTTCATGTACTGCACTGACCATGTGCTGCTAAGTCAGTGCCAACTTATAGTGAGCCTCTCCAGGGTCTTCTTAGGTCGAGATTCTACTCAGAAGTGGTTTACCATTC